CTGGCATCTCTAACGGGTGTTCGGTACGTCTCTGATGAACAAATGAAGTAGATTTGGAAATCCAAGGGAAATCAGAACTCAGGGATATTATATTCCTGGTGACACCAGGGAGTAGAAGGGGCCTGTGCAGCCTGGCCCGTGGGTGCAGGGAAGCTGGAATGACTGCCACGCCATCTCAGCGGCAACCAGGACGTAGGCACTCAGTACTGACTTGTACTTGCCGGAACCATGACGGAGAAGGACATGAGCTTGACACCCCAAACTATGCACAGTTTGCCCAAGAGATTCTACCCACTTGCTGCTGGACTGATTTCTGGCCATACAAGAGAAGAATTTTGGCAAATTTAGGAGCTTTTTAAAAAATAAATTACTCAAAATAACAGATTATCCAATGTGATTTCTAGGAGAAACATGTGCTCCTTAAATTGAAAATTCTGCCCCATTAACTTCCTGAAAGGTGATGGTGGATAGCTACTGACGGGTTCTGTGAATGAGGTAATCTGTGATACAGCAAGGCCTCTGGGGAGGAAATCTTTCGAGTGTTAGAGGCGAATGTTTCTATTTAGAGGGATTTGAATTTAATGGATGACAAGTTAATATGTCATCAGCATCTGTGGTTGTCGCAGGGCTGCTAAAAGGAATGACAAATGCTCTGTGTGCAAGTTTGTATTTTAATACATTAACATGTCTGTTAAACAGGACTTCTTTAAATTTCATGAAACTAAGAGAACCCTCCAGAGGATTCTGCTTTGTGACATTCGGCTCCTTCTCTAGAACTTTTCAGCTGTCATTTTCTTTGCTTTTTAGTGGACTTTTGCCTTTGTGTTTTCCAGGAAGAAAACAGAATTCTCTAGCAGGCAATCTGTACAGTGTATTCGCTAGACCAAAAAACTGACCGCAATCCTACATATTTAGAAGAATCGATTGACATGTGTGCTCTGGACCCCAAATCATGAACTGATCGACTGACATAATCCCGTCATCCCCACTAGAACCTGTTCTTTATATCATAATACTATCTGCCCATATAGCAATATTTCCCTCTGAGAAACTCCAAGGATTGGTGATGATCATTAATAGCTATAATGTTGTCGAGATAATGTAGATGTTATTTTTGCCCTTATTTTATACATAAGGCTACTGAGGCACAGAAAGCCACATAGCAAGTTCGGATTGTTCAAGGAGTGAAACATGGACATCTTGCTCAACACTAACTACTTCAACCAACATACATAAAATCATGCTTTAGAGTTAAATGCAGCCTGCTACTACTCTCTATTCTCTTTACTTACATTGCTATTTCTGTTCCAGAGGCCTATTTTTGTGTTTGCCTGGCCACCTGAGAAATCTATTTTGTTATAAGCAAACAGGATGCTTTTTAGTGCCCCTCGCTGTAGGTGCACATTATCGTTAGCCACTCTTCAGATTCTAGGCTGGTTCTTTTTCCCATTTCAAATCCTCTGTTTTTATTGGTGATCACTTGCATTTCCTGGTGCCCAGGATGCAACAATACTGTGCTTACTTTTGTCCTTGTGTCTGAAAAAAATCAGTAGAAAGAGTGATTCTTTCAGTGTGTGAGTGTGAGTACATGTGTGTGTTTCGAGACTTCAGAGAAAGGGAACTGCAAAGTGTTTCTGAAGCTTTCAACAGCTGTAGCTCTCCACCCCCTCTCCCCCCATCCCAGCTTTCATGTGCTCTTTGCAAGTCATCATTTTCTGATATCAAGGATCCCCATAGAACTGGTGTCATGCAGTGTGTAACAAACCAGAATGAACTAGGCAAAAATTCCAGCCATGGACACACATCTAAGAAAATAAATGCGTGGATCACTGGGAGAAGAGCAGCATGCATTCCTCCCTGCCACCCTGGCTCTCCCGTGCAAGATTTTGCCTATTGTCCTAACGGGCCTCAGGAAACTTGAGATGACTGCTCACTCAGTCACCCGCTAGCTGCGTGATCTGGAGACAGTACCTCTCTTGTAACAACGTAAGGAATGAAGCTCTATAAAATACAGGGCATGGAGAGCATAGCCCAGTATCTGGTGTACTACATGCTTTTTAAAATGAGACCTATCGGGGTGCCTGGGTGGCTCAGTCGTTAGATGTCTGCCTTTGGCTCAGGTCATGATCCCAGGGGTCCTGGGATCGAGCTCCGCATCAGGCTCTCTGTTCAGCAGGAGGCCTGCTTCTCCCTCTCCCCCTCCCCCTGCTTGTGTTCCCTCTCTCGCTGTGTCTCTCTCTGTCAAATGAATAAATAAAATCTTTAAAAAATAAAATAAAATGAGATAAATAAAGACCTACAATAACAATGGAAAGAAGTGTCATGTTCATTAGCTAAGAGAGAATGCTCATTCTTCTGTGAAAAGTGTTCTTAAATACATAAACTCTATTCATGCTCTCACCTATTTCTCTATTTCTCCCTCTTTTAGCTCTTTCTAAATCTCCCAAGTACCTGTTATTTATGGAGTCCCTTCCCCCAGAAAATCACACAGAAAAGTATCAGAGAAAACAAATTGTCACTTATTCCCTTGGGGCATAGAACTATGGGAAAAAGAAATACCAAATATGGAAAAATAAATGGCTGTTGAAATCAGTGGACAGGATTTGGTGAAGGTAAAATCCTCCCTTGCACCCTTTAGATTGCAGAGATGGGCGACAAGCTACTCAGCTCAGTTTCTTAGCACCACTCACCATCTGACCCCTGCTTATCTCGAGAGCCTGAAACTTCACCATCACCACCCTCCTCCCTGGCACCCTGTCCTCTTCCCTTCCTCCAGGATTTGCAGTCCAGGCACACACCGTGCTTCTCACTTCATGTCTTTGAGTTTCCTCTGCCTCAAATGTCTGGTCCTCATCCAGATAATTCATACTTGCCCTTGAAGACTCAGCTTAGATAACATTTGCATGGCATCTTCCCCGAGGCAACCTCGTTGTTTCAGTCCAGGATGGGGTGGAGGAGTATGATTCACATCACAGTCTCTGGGAATGGCGCCTTGTGGAGATGCCATGTGCATTCTGCTCGCCTGTACCTGGTCTGCACATACCCTGTCCACCAGCCCACCTCTCCTGTGTCCTCTAGTGAGGAAATTTTTTGTCTCTCTGTTTTAATCATTTACAGGAAGTCTTTCCTCCTAGACCACATGTTCCTTGAGGAGGAGTATGGGCTCTACTTCCGTTTTTCCAATACCTCACAGGCACTCATGTGAGTAGTGGCTCAAGAAGAGAGCTTGAGAGGTGCCTTTTCCAGTGACTATTTTTGGCATACCAGCTTAGGAATAGATGACTCACAGTTTAGTAGGAAACTGTGAAAAGTAACAAGGGCTCTAGGATGACAACAGCAGGCTTATAAGAATCAGATACTAGCCTGGAACAATGACGGAGAAAGTTTGGTTTGAGACTCAACTCACACTCCTTTGGCATTCAGTTGGAGCTGCCGTCTGTATGTCCCAAGTTGAGAAGCCCTTTTCTAAACTCTATTGCTGGCTTCTCCCTTCGTTTCACTTGCTATTTAAAGTTTCAAAGCTTGCTGCACATCACGTCCTTTTTATCAGCTATGGTGCACCTTAGAGCGGACATTTCCTTCAGGAGCCAAGGATACTGGAGCTTCTATTTAGAGAGTACTTATTATGGGTTGGAGGAAGGCCTGCCTATGCCTAGAGTCATGCTGCTTGAAGCCTTTCTAATATTCATTTAGTTAGAACCGTAACCACACTGAGTTATTGCTGGTCTCATATGGATCATATATTCACAGGCAGCTCTTGGCTTTGACAAGAGGATGTGTGTTATCTCTGCTATTGCCCATCATGTCTTTTCATTTCATTATGAATATTGTGCTTGGAAGCCTGACTTTCAATCTATAATCCCAGTTAAATTCTTTCAACACAGTCTGTCCATTTAAGTGCATAGTTTTCTTTGAAGCAGACCTTGTTGAAGTCGATATCCATGATCTGCTATCTCTGTCTTCCAGGGCCACCACATTTTGCTCTAACTGGGAAGGAAAAGACAATTTTTAACATGGATGAACTTTGTAGCCTGGCATATAGTTTTTTACTGGCATGAGAGCAGCTCAAGTTCTAGAAAGAATTAGAGTTCCGAAGGACAACTTTTTAATGTGAACCAATTAAAGTGTTCTTTCCATCTTCACTGGGTCTGTGGCTCCAAGTTCAATTGTGTCTCTTATTATACTGCTCCTGTGTTTACTGACAAGTGTCACTACATAAACAGAATTGAAAGGGGCCGGCATAATTTCATCAAGGGAACATCAGGGTGAATTGCTGAAAAGCACAACATGCGATACCATTTAGATCAACTCGAAAATGAATGCCGCCAGCTGTCTGAAAGGCCCCTTGGGTGATGGTGTCCATGCCTGAGGGTAAGGCTCTTCTTCATGTGAAGCCTCCTAGGAAACTGAGAATTAGGGACCAACATTCATGAGAGCCAAAGTTAGGAAAAAGCGAGGAAAAGTAAGGAATTACTTGTAAGTCAGAGCCCAGGGAGACCGTTTGAGCAGATTTTCCAGTGGTCATGCACACGTTTTCAAATACAGGGCTAAAGAAAGCAGAGGGATGTTGAGGACCAACTACTTCATCAGAATCGAGCCAACAAATACTTAGAAGTGTGGGAACGAGATAGGAGGCCCTGCGTGAGGCTCTCCTGCTTGAAAGAAGACTTCAGTGTCAGAAGGTTTTTAACAGCCAAGAGGTCCTTTTGTGAAGAGGCGAAAAGTCTTTTTTAATTACTAATGTTCAGTTTACTTCATGTTCCCCTAGAGCCTGTAATCTAATACTTGTTAATTGGGTATGAATATACATAAATAACCTCTATCCAGGGGAGGAAAGGGAGGATGGTGGTGACAGGAAGTTTTCAGCAGTGGTGGCAATGAATGATCACGTTTACGATTTGAGTCATCATGGGTAATTCTAACACCCTTATTATGTTTCTTTGAGGATGTGAAGTGACTAAATAAATCTGAACGACAACTGTACTTTATTGATTTTGCAGAGTTAAGAGGAAGATTTATGAGACATGGAACTTTCCATCAGGTTTGGAAGAAAGTAAAGGGAACGCAGAGATGCCAGACTGCCACTAAGACCCATGGACAATCCCGCACTCACGCTTCCTTCTCTGTCAAATTTTAAGATTTATTAGTAATATGCTGCCTTTGCAAGATGAAAACAAACGAATGCCAAGAAGGCATACTCTTCCATATTTGCAATAGACGTGCTCTCAAGACAATGGCTTCAAAGGTCTCCTGTCTCTATGTTTTGACAGTTGTGTGCTGGGCCAGTGCCCTCTGGTATCTGAGTATAACTCGTCCCACTTCTTCCTACACTGGCTCCAAGCCATTCAGCCACCTAACAGTTGCCAGGAAAAACTTCACCTTTGGCAACATAAGAACTCGACCTATAAACCCACATTCTTTTGAATTTCTTATAAATGAACCCAACAAATGTGAGAAAAACATTCCTTTCCTTGTTATCCTCATCAGCACCACCCACAAAGAATTTGACGCCCGCCAGGCGATCCGAGAGACGTGGGGGGATGAGAACAACTTCAAAGGGATCAAGATAGCCACTCTCTTCCTCCTGGGCAAGAACGCGGATCCTGTTCTGAATCAGATGGTGGAGCAAGAGAGCCAAATCTTCCACGACATTATCGTGGAGGACTTTATTGACTCCTACCATAACCTTACCCTCAAAACACTAATGGGAATGAGATGGGTGGCCACTTTTTGTTCAAAAGCCAAGTATGTCATGAAAACAGACAGTGACATTTTTGTAAACATGGACAACCTTATTTACAAACTACTAAAACCCTCCACCAAGCCAAGAAGAAGGTATTTTACTGGCTATGTCATCAATGGAGGGCCAATCCGGGACGTCCGCAGTAAGTGGTACATGCCCAGGGATTTGTATCCTGACAGTAACTACCCACCGTTCTGTTCGGGGACTGGCTATATCTTTTCAGCTGATGTGGCTGAACTCATTTATAAGACCTCGCTCCATACAAGGCTGCTTCACCTTGAAGATGTCTATGTGGGACTGTGTCTTCGAAAACTGGGCATACATCCTTTCCAGAACAGTGGCTTCAATCACTGGAAAATGGCCTACAGTTTGTGTAGATATCGCCGCGTCATCACTGTGCATCAGATCTCTCCAGAAGAAATGCACAGAATCTGGAATGACATGTCAAGCAAGAAACATCTCAGATGTTAGGATTTTTACCGATGTAAATACATTCCTTTTCTTTTTTAAGAAATGGGGCCTAGGGTGTTGGTGTTTTATTGGTGTCACCAGGGGAAATGAACCGGTGTAGGGGTTTTGTAAAAAGCTTTTTTCTTCCCGCTCCTAGTTTCTTTCTTGGACTACCAGTTTACAAGTGTTAGGCTCTGGTCATAGAAACAACACATGAGTTAGAAGGGCCAGATTTCATTCTCAGGTCCTGAGGCATTGCGTTTATCTCAAAAAGTAACATCCTAACAACTGCTAGGATTTACATACTCTGCATCTGAGATAAAAATCTGGTTCTGGGAAACTGAGACTCGAGGTAATGCCTTCATATCATCTCTGCAAAAATAAAAGTAAATAACTCTTTTTCAGAAATAATACACAGTCAGAAAGACACACCCGATGTGATTATTAATATTGTGTGTGCTGTTACATTGAATTTTTACATCTCTTGCCATGTAATGTGTACAGTATTTGCAGTTCCACCAAGACATGAACTTAGGCCTGGCAGGGAGGCTGCAGCTAAATAAATGGAAATTTAAATTTGAAAAGCAAATATTCTGTATGGTTGGAAGACAACTGTGCTTGCTCATCCAAGGATTAAACCTGGTCATTGGGTGGAATGTATATAAAATGCTACTTAACAAAATAAACAAGAGATTTGCCGGGGTGGGGGGGTGGGGGGGGTGTCTTTCAGAACAAACATTACCTGGTGCCTCCAAGGAGATTTTGCCAAATGTAATCTCACCTGCTTCCCTCCATACGGTGTTGCTAAGTGCATTTTACAGTTTCTGTCTCAGGAAGGCACATATGTAGAAATAAGTTGGTAGGAAGGCAGAAAAACAATAAATTACACGGAGAAAACACGAATTTATGTATGCATTATAATTAACATAAGCAAGCTTAGCAATAGTATAAGATGCCCCTCCCACACATTTGCAAAGCATGTGAGATAAGCTTTCAATGGGTCCCAATGTTATTGAATGCTTTAGCCCTACAGTTGATAGATGTAATATTCTAATATCTGAAACATCCAAGTACCTCTAGCTGCAATGCCGTTAGGAGTAGGAGGTACTCTGGAAGTTCTGTGACTGAGGTTCATGGGAAGGAAAAGTGGAGAAGCTTGGGATCAGTTTCTCTTGGTACCATCGTTCTTATTGGGTCATGTGAGCAGGCATCTTAACCTTGCTGTGCTTCAATATGCTCAATTATAAAATGGATGGAAAAAACACCTACCTCACAGGTGCTGTGAGAGCAAATTGCATTTGCTAAGTATTTTGAGATCCTTAGTTTAAAAGGTGCTAATGCAATGTATCATGCATTATGCCAAATGCTAAAATAATTAATTACAACAGTGGTCACCTGTAGTAGTAATATCATCTCAAATATAAATTCTGCCAACATAAAGATCGAATATGAACTATTAGTGCATCTGATTCTTCTAAAACTTTGACTTTTCCCTGGATACCTTAGGTGTTTGGAGAAGCTTCAATTTCTCTATCACTTCCTCTGATTTCAATGAATAAGTTTTTACTTTGGTGCAATGCCTTGATTTCCCAGGGTGCTGAAAGTGAAGGCAGCTGCCTTTCTTTGGGGAGGAGCCTCTGGCTGGAAGCATATTACAATAATTGAACCACATGCTTTGCAAAATGTATTATATCCCATCAACTTAGATCTCAGGAAACATTCATCTGAATTCTCGATAAGGACTTTGAGGGCCGGTAGAGCTAGTCCCCCTCTATCCGAAGAAGAATCGGCACTCTGCAAACCCACATATTGCACATCTTCTATTCATTAGAAAACTTCTGCTTGTCTTCATTCAAAGACAGCCCTGCAACTGAAAGAATATAACTTTTCTTTTAACCTGACCTTTAGAAGCTCCCCCAGAAGTTGATAGCAAACAAGTAAACAAAATGAACAAATGGAAGTCATGGCCTATTTCTTGACAACACTGGATCTCTTATCCCCAGCCCCAAAGAATGCAATATGAGACAGGTCTTCCTGTCCTTCAGTACATCTTCATCAAACAGTCAGCTGGACTGCCGAGTTTGATTGGAAAACAGCATTAGGTAGCCTGGGGAGAGATGGATCAACACAAGGTGAGCCCCTCTCTAACCCCCAACCCTCAACTGCTGTGAGTTCCGGTCATTGGAAAAGTCTCATGACTTTGTACTTGGTTCACATTTCAGTCACATAGCTGAATCAAGCCTCTGTCTTCTACTACCATTTACATTTACCTTATGCTCAGTCAAGCCACCTTCATGTCAAGGAATTGCACATTATAAACATCATATATGTACATCTATGAATTGTTTTCTGTGTGTGTGTGTGTGTGTGTGTGTGTATATTATAAATAGAGCCCTAATCTTTAAAAGGAGCAAAAATCGGGAGAATCATATGTCTTAAAGAACTATTTCCTAACTTTTTTATGCTAGGTAGTGCCCATGTGACAAACATGTAAATAGTCATCAAAGACCATATGTATATATTTTAAAGGCATTTTTTTCTTCTCCCCTGTATGTATAGCTAGAATCTGCTTGTTATGTACATTTTCTTCTGCATGGAGCTTGGTGAGGCAAGGCCATTTGTCCAGTGTTTCAATAGCCAAAAGCATGTTTGCCCTTCGTTTTTTTGAATGTTCAAAAAAAATGTTTAAGTCAGGTGATCAGGAAAAAAAGCTCTGATTTTCTACTTTTCTTAATTTTATGATGCTGGCCAAATTATGGTTTCAATTATTTAAGCCATTTTTAAATGTATTTTCATTTCTCTTATATAAAATAACATTTCAGACAGTATTGTATCAGGAGTCGTTCAGACAAATTTTTATGAAAACCTTCTGACTGTCCCCCTACCTGTGTTGTTCATTATGCATTGGATAACAAAATGTATCAATATTGAGTGTCTGTATTCTTAAAATTTCTTTTTTAAATTTATTTTTGGAAAAAAAAGTTTTATCTTTGCTGGCTAATTTGCGTGGCTTTGGGTCTTCTTATATTGGACCAAATGCCAGTTTCAACATATAATATTGTATCTTTAAATAACCAGAATCAAAATTTGAAGATCATTTTTGATTTGGATTAAATTCAGAAGAACAAAACCCCTTTGTGTGATGATATGGGGGAAACAAACTCTTGACAGAGAAGCTAAGGAAGGAGTTTTTCAATCAAATCTCTTCTATCAAAGACAATGGAACATTTACATAAAGCTTCTGGGATTCATTTTCTACCTTTCCTAATATGTGGGTTTAGTGGGGGAATTGATTATGTCATTTCTTCTGTAAAGGTGAGGATAGTTTTTCTAAGCAACAAAGTAACTCGTGAATGAAAGAAGTAATTTACTAGAAACGCCTGTTGATGATAATTGACACTTAGGTATATCGTTATATATGAATGATTGTTTATTTATGTATTTATTTGTCAGAATTGTACATACTATTTCGCCAAACGTAATTGTCCGTAAAAGTGCACTCTCCAGGTTTGTAGTACTATTTAGGGTTACATGGGTTGCCGATCAAGCTGCTAATCAGAATACTATTTTTTGTATCAATGTTATAAAACTGAAAAATGACAAATAGATGCTGAAGATGTCTTTACATTCAGTTTCTTCACCTTCCTCTTGAAATGTAAACTGTTGATTGAAGCACGATGCCAATGTATACGTCCATCTGTCATGAGGAAGATTATGGTTCCATAAAGCTGATTTTTTTAAACCATTGGGACAAATAAACAGAAGGAGAACGTATTTTCCACTTTGCTTCTTTTCTGAAAGAATCTCTTTGGTGAGTTGTGATCATTAAAATTAGCTGACACCCTGTTGTTTATCATTAATCTTCTCTTCAACCTCAATATAGGTCACAGCTCACATCATTCAAAGCTCATCCCAAGAGCCCTCTGCAGCATAACAGTCAACTTAGAGACAGTTTGCTCCTTAGATCATGGACTGCTCCAGGGTTTAGGAAACTGGTGTCTCCCTTGCCCCTTGGTGGCCTCAGGAAAGTCTCTGTGTTAAATTCTATGGGTTGAGCATGTCAACAAATTCCAATTCAGAGAGCACTATATTGATAACATGAGTGGTGAATTAGGACATATTAAATTCAAGGCAAAACTGTCATTCTTATGCATCACCCACATATATCCTTTGGAATATTGCATACTATTTTAAAAGTTTGCTCAGACTGGAAAAATGCTATTCAGGCATCCTTTCCAGCAGACAAATAGGGGATGCTTGCTGATGCCTGACTTTGTAAGCAAGAGACTAATAGCTATTTAAGAGAGAAAAGTTCCTATTATTATCAACCCTGAGTTAGCTTAAATAGGTCTTTACTTTTTAATGGAAATTTAACTGGATTTACTACCGCTGTACCTCAGAGTTCAAAGCGTTAAGTCCATCAGGTGAGCTGAAATACATGAGTTAACAATGAAAACATAAAATACATAGATTTGTATTCCGTGTGACTCTTCTAAAGGACCAACATCAAAAGCAATGTTGTAAAGGCATGGTCTTATACCAGGAGCATCGGCACCAAGCGGGAACTGGTTAGAAATGCAAATTCTTGGAACCTACCAGAAACTTAGGGGTGTGGCTCTGCAATCTATTTTAACAAGCTTGTTAGGTGATTCTCGGTCACACTAAAGTTGGGAATGCTGCTCAGGGGCTGGCAAACGACCCTCTGAGAACCACTTCTAGCCTGCTGCCCCCAGGTTGAGAGTGGTTTCAGGATGAACATTTGCAAAGATTCGATGAGGGGACACACTAATATTGAATCCCAATTAAGCGACATGTTTTCCCAACGGTAAGAATTCTACTCTTCTCGGGGCGCCTGGGTGGCTCTGTTGGTTAAGCATCTGCCTTGGGCTCAGGTCATGATCCCCGGGCCCTGGGATCGAGCCCTGCATTGGGCTCCTTGCTCAGCGGAGAGCCTGCTTCTCCTTCTCCTTCTCCCTCTCCCCCTCTGCCCTGTTTATGCTCTCTCTCACTCTATCTAAAAATCTTTTTTAAAAAATTATCATTCTCAGTAGATGTGTATTGCCAAAAAAGTCCTTAATTATTATTTTATTATATTTTAATTTCATTAATACAGAAACCGTGGAGATCTGTTTCTTGTTATTTCAGTAAGTTTATATATCTTCAATTTTGCCTGTTAGCCTACGAGCTTGAAGTATTTATTATCTGGTCTTTACAGGGCAAGTTTGCCAACCTCTAACTTAGAGAAACGGGGAGACATCTGACAAAGGTATGATGTACAAATTTCCTCCAATTGTGGATGAGAAATGACAGCACTAAAGCATACTGGAAGTGTTTTCATGCAGCCAGAGAAATGACAATGTAGTCATGGTAATGTATTGCATTAAAAACCGACAGCTGCTTATATTTTTTAAATTTTTTTTTATCTCTCTGGGTGATTTTTAAAAATTGTAAAAACTTGATTCTAATTGCAACAATTAGCCAAAGCTTAATTAATATATTGCTTAAAGTTGTGTGGGTATTAGACCTAAGAGGGTGGGTTTCATATAGCTTGATTATCATAATTACAAGCATTCTATTTTCTCATTTACTTAATTGATTGTCAGAGCTTTCCAGATAAATTCACACTGCTGGAAGAGAATTGAATACATTTCTGAGAGAAAAAAAATGGGGCTATTTAGAAGAACGATGTGTCCCAGA